TCAGTGAGCAGGGTAGGGCTGCCCTGGCTGTCACCAGACTGGCTCTGAAGTTTGTGCTCTGAATGCTGAGGGCAGTTGTGTGGTGCTACTCCATAAAAACTAGACATGAATGTGGATGCAACTCCAAATTTAAAACTTAAAACAACAGAAAAACATTCCCATCTCATTTCATACAAGGTACTGGTATATATATGTATATGTATATGTATATTTATATGTATGTATGTATATATATTTACTCACAAATGGACTATTAAAGGCAAAAGAAGAAAAACTATGAACAAACAGTTCACTGAAAAGAAATGCCAATAGCCTTATCTAGGGTCACCCATCTTCAAAAATGCAAGTGAAGACGAGACAGTGTCCCACTGCACTGTCAAATCCGGGAAGGTCTATTCCCTTCAATGTTCTGGCCAGATTGAAGAAAATCAGGAACACCTTATCAATGGAAATGCAAATTGGTAGAATTTAAAATGATGATTTGACATAACTTCTCAAGAAACTCAGTGCACCTATCCTTTGGCCCATTAGTTCAGTGCCTGAGTATCTACTCCAGAGGCACCTAATTACTTGACAGAGACACAGAAACACAAGGCTGTCCACACAGCCAGTGTTATGACAGCCTCACTCAGTGTAAACAAGACATCTCAAGGGCCCTGAGTTTTCCTGACTCTTTTTTCTTTTTGTCATGGGAATGTTTTCTTGATGGAGAAAACAGTATATTGATTTATCTTATGGTGTGTACGCCTTATCTACATGTGGAATAAAACTGAGTATCAAATAATAACCTCAAAGTCCACCAATGGGTATTTGGTAAACAAATTATAATAGGTCCAAAAATAAAATCGTATCCATTTATTTTAAAAATGAAATCTACACATACTGATGGAAAGATAAACAAGGACATGGGAAAATGGGGTAAAGCAGCATACACAGTAAAAAACACAAGACAAACATAAGTCTGTGTATTCACCAAGCTTCTGGAAGCACAGGAAAGACCCTGTTGATCATGGTCATCTTAAGACTTGGGACCATGATCCTGGAGAGGTGAGATGTGGGACTTTCTATCTCCTGGCTTTGAAAATATAGAACTATCTCTACAACTAATATAAAGTTACATCTACAATCTTATAAAGCACTGAAGTTTAAGCTTTTATTCAAAGTCAACAAACCAATCGTTGACTCTCTGACAATATATTAAAAACCTACTGAAAGCAGATTTAACAATTGAGCATAAGACCTCACACTATGGAACTACTAGAAGGAACACTTCAAGACACTGGCCTAGGTAGAGGTGTTTTTCAGACAGGATTACCCCAAATCAGGCTAAAAGAACAGTAGAAAAACGAGGTTACATCAAGCTAAAAAGTCATCCATGGCAACCAATCAACAGAAGGAAGAGATGATCCACATATTTGGAGATTCATTCAAACTGCACCCGACCAGATGTCAAGGTACAAGAGGTACAGGTACAGGGACTCTACTCCATAAAACGAAAACACAAACTGTTGACATTTGTTTCTAGGAGGAGGGAACTGAGAGGATCACTGGATGCTCATATCCGTATCAGGCCACTCCCTGACAAGACATTTTGATGAAATTGTGTCTTATTTGTACATGATCATTGGGTATGGGTGAGAGATTAGAGTAAAAGATTGGGGAAGAATAAGAGAAAACTGGCTCTATCTATGAGGTATGGAGAGGCCATCATCCATGCTGGGTGAAGACCTGCCAGTGTAGCTGCTTTGGGGTCATCTGTGCTCCGGTCAATAACCCCTTAGCCAATCTTTGTAAGTAAGCCCTTAAACCCATTCGTTCCCAGGGTGAATGGAGGTAGAACTGTACTTTGATTTGTTGTTATGACCATGGGAAGAGGGAGCAGATGTTCATATCTTCCTCAGGGAAGGAATTTTAGCGACATAGACATTTCTCAAGAGAACACATAAGAATGAAAAAAATGTTTAATATCATTAATTACTAGGGGATACTTTGGGAGACATTGCCTCAATCCAGTAGAGATTGCCATCGTAGAAAACATAAGAAAGCAAGGGCTGGGAAGCATGTGAAAGAAAGGGGATCCATCCACACTGTTGGAAGATAAGTTAGGATAGTTATGAGAATCAGGATGGCATTCATTCAAACAAAATAGATTAAAACAAATACTATATACATTGGAATAGCTATTCAATATGATGTAACTATGACCTCTGGATACACATTCGAATGAAATGAAATCAATGCATTGAAGACATATGTGTTCCCATGTTTGTTTTGTTGTGGAATATTAGTTTAAGATGTGTTATATTCATTCATGCTATAGAATATTTAACGATGCAAAGATGTATTGCAGTCTTTTATGTTGCATTTGTTTAACTCTGTAAAGCTGTGTTACTTTGCCTGTCTAAAACACCTGATTGGTCTAATAAAGAGCAGAACAGCCAATAACTAGGCAGGAGAGAGAAATAGGTGGGGCTGGCAAGCAAAGAATAAATAGGAGGTGAAATCTAGGCTCAAGACAAAAAGTGAGGTGTGAGAAAAGAAGGAGAGGAGGATGCCAGGGGCTAGCCACCCAGCCAGCCATGGAGTAAAAAGGAAAGAAAGATATATAGAATAAAGAGAGGTAAAAAGCCCAGAAGCAAAATGTAGTTAAAGAGAAATGGGATAATTTAAGTTAGAAAAGCTGGATAGAAACAAGCCAAGCTAAGGCCGGGTATTTATAAGAAAGAATAAGTCTCTGTGTATTTTTTTGGGAACTGGGTGGCGGGACCCCTAAGATTAGAAAAAAACTACATTGTTTTATAATTATTATTTTAGCATGGAGGGTATGGAGGGAGCAGAGAGATAATAGAGGTAGAGTTCAAAGACAGACTATACAAGAAGAATGTGCTCTAGAGTCTCCCACTAGTTGGTAATAATGTACTTACTGTAAACTTCAAAATACTTAAATACTTTAAAATATCTAAAGGAGAGGACTTGGAACATCTGTCACAAAGAAATGAAACTTTGGAGGGATATGCTAATTGCCCTGACTTGATTATTCTACAACACATCAATAGATAGATATCACACTCTACCGATAATCTGTTTAACTATTATATATCAATTAAGTCAAAGCCAAAACAGAATAACTGTATTAGATGTATTATAGGCCAAATTTACAAAAATTAACTGTGGACTAATATTCATTGTCAAAATCCTACACCCTCTACATGGGATGGATTCCTATAGAGTCCTGTGAGAACACATTGTTATTTTCCCCCAATCCTGGCAATCTTTTCACCTTAGAAAATGTAGGATTTTGCTGTCATTCTGTTTTGTTTTTTCAAATCCAGACAGGTTTCAGTACTAGGATACCCATGGGATAACAATCAGCTATCATTCTCTGGTCTGTCGGGACCAGAGTCCTAAGCCAAAGAAACTCATGCTCAGGAGGACCCGTATGGTACCATAAATAAAACAAGGGACTCTCTACAGTCCATGGAAACCACAACCTATATTGCCAGGAGGGATGGCTATTATGCCATGGGGGTCCTGTGGCACACACTTGTAATCACAGCCTTATGCACACTTGTGTGCAGCTTGCAAAGCATTTCACCTGCTGTCTTGGTGAACAGTGGAGACCTAATTCCACTGATGGAATGTTGGCCTTGGCGGGTCATACTTCTGTCCCAGTTGCTAGTTCCTGTACCCCCGCCCCCCTTCCCACAATGCTGCCTTCCAGGGCACAGGTGACCTCCCTCGCCTCCATGGGAGTCTGCTTGGCTCATTCCTACTCTCTGTTTATTAGTCTCTGCATTGAACTGGATGAATTTAAAAAGAGGACTATGGCCGGTGGTGCTGTGTGCTAAACACTGCTATTTAGAGCATGCAGGGAACACAGGCATCAGGCTGAGTTTGGTCATCCTGAGCAGTGTGGAGAGGAACAGAAGGAAAAGCAATCCTTGCCCCCCGAGTGAAGGACACCACTAAGCGCACTGTGTCTTTGAGGGGTGTGTTTGCTCTTGCTCGCCTTTGCTCTACTTCACGTGTAGGTTGGCATAGCCATTCAAAGTGACATCAATGAGTGAGTGTGTCGCCCTCAAAGCTCTACCTCGGGTACCAACTTCACCGCTGCAGTCGTTCAAGTCAGAAATCTTTCCAAGATTTCTGTCAAGGCATTTGTGTCTCCTATTTCACCTACACTTCCACTTCTATACAAACATCACGTGGACACATTACATTATGTGATAGTATTTCCCACTTACTGAGTACCTATTTGTCAGCCACTGTAGTAGGCAGTTCAGTATTTTTACATTTGTTTATTTCACTTCGTGAGTGTGGAGATCAGAGGACCACTTTACAGAACCATGTGGGTTCTGGAGAGCAAAATTTTGTCAGGCTTGGTAGCAAAGTCCTCACATAGTGAGCTCTCTTGCTGGTCCCTGTATTCTATGTCTCATTCATTGCTTCAATTTCTCACAGAGTCTACAAGGGCTAGCTCCTTCTTCCTACTTTGCATATAAAAAAAACCCTGAAGACTGAGTCTGGATCTTGTAGTCATGGTGGGCAGAGCCAATACTGCAATGCAGATCTGCCTGGCTTCCAAGCCAAGCTTCTTTCCTGTATAGAACACACCAGTAATGGACAGGGGGGCTCTGTATGAACAAAGTATAAAAATATGTAAGTATGAAAATGTCATGACAAAACCCATTATTTTATATGCTAGCAAAAGGGTTTTTTTTAAGTCAATTAAAATCCATGGATGAACAAATATAGAAAAAGAATGCTTATTGTATTATCTATGGAAAGAAAGAAGTTAGTGCAATCCAGTATCTGAACAGTCTGTGTTGTGCTCTTGTCCTTGGGTCTTAACAGGTGGGTTGGTGGCCTAAAGTGATGGAATTCAAATTTGATCCAACTATAGCACTCCCCATTCCATGACCCACATGTGAGCCGCTCCTGTCTACCTCCTCCCTCTGGCCAGCTTTCAAAGGCAAACAAAACCCATATGATCACTGAAGTCTAGAAACGAACTTTTATTTTAAATCTGTCAAGAACTCCCGACCATTATTAATTTTATTAAAATACAATTGTAAAATAAAAAGAGGGCGAGTCTCTTTCTCTTCAATATAAATTATGTGTTAGCCTTTTGGCTTCTGGCTCAGCGTGGTTTAAGGTGCTTTCAAGGGGCGAGGGGGCTCTGAGTTCCAGACAATTCAGACAGCAATGAGAGAAAAATAATAAATTAAAAGTGATTGTAATTGGAGACATTGCCCGGGATATGCTAATTATATGTTTTTTGGATGTGTGTACAGCTGGACTCCAAGCTTTGGTACTTTAAAGAAATCATGTGGATAGTGTCCTGTCATTGATTTGTGTTCATAATACAGAACAAATTCACTGTTTTTTTTTCCCCAAAAGATGGAAAAAATAAAACATGACAATTTCAAATAAAATACAACCAGCATTCATTTATCTAATTGCAACATGGTAAAACAAAAACATTTTTATTAAAATATTTAATATCAGAATAACTTATAATAGTATGAAAAAGAGTGAAGTATTCGTTCTTGTTTTTCACTGCCATGCTCACGTCTGGGCAGAGTTGTGGCGGTTTCTACCTCCCATCCTGGATCTTAGTGTACCAAGGAAGCAGCCGAAGAACCCAATACTTCATCCACTCATACAGTCATCATGTCCACATCTCACCTTGGGCTTCCTGTTACTGCAAACTGCACTTAAGAAAACAAAGTAAAAATATACATACAAAATACTTTCATATCAAATTGTCTTCGTTACACTAGATAACCCCCACCCCACAATACTATGATACATGGAAAAAGTGTCCTATGGTGGCCATCAAGACAGTCGTGTCCACTCAGCAACCAGAGCAACCTTTGGCTTTTATAAAAGCATTTTGTAAAATAAAGAAAGATGTCAGCACGTGCTGTGCTCCTGGATGTCATTCACACTTGCAAAAAAGCTTTCCAGTCTAAAAAATTACGAAATAGGTTACATACCCAGAAAAAAAAAAAATCCCACCCCAAAATAGCCCAGTCTTCTCGATTTGCTGTTGGACATTTGCTTTGTTCTCTGTGGCGTCTCCGTATTTCTCTATGTTTCTAGTCTTCCCAAGCTGGTTAGGATGTTGATGAACAAGACACTCTTCTTCCTTGACAGAGATTATTCTCACTCAGTGGTAGTGTCATTTAGAAACAAAATGTTCTTTCTTCAATGCAAGATTTCACTTAATTTTTACTTGCATGTCCTACTTGGCACAAATCAGAGACTGTTCATGGTTTGTTTCCCATATGTTTTAAATTTTAAAAATCAATTTTCTGCATGTATATGTATATCCACATACAGATATTTTCCCTTCATTTTCTTGTTCTCCTTACAATACAAATTGTCCATTAGAATTGTGACTTGAAATGAACCAAATAAAAATCTTTTAGTTACTCCATATGAAAGTCAGCTTCCATCACAAAGGAACACTCCAATGCAAACAAGATTATGTCTTAAAACTAAAAACTAGTTTTACACAGGAAAAAAAAATCAGTGATTTATATAATAAGGCTCTTTGCAAAGCTTCAGAAAAAGAAAAATCCAAATAAGTTGTAAAGGGCACTGGGATGCATTCCACAGTGCTTGGGAAACTAATTTCTGATTACAACGTGCTGTAATTACTAGTTTGAAAGTGTCTCTTCTTAAACATATATATCACGTGAGCTGGCTGCCCCTTTCATTTTGGAAGCTGCTAACATATCAGAGATGCAAACAAAACCCACAAATAAAATTCTCACCATCACCCTGGAAAGCACAAAGAACAATTTCCAGTCCTGTAGGCATTACCAGGAAAAAAAAAAAAAAATATATATATATATATATATATATATATATATATATATATATATATATATATATATATATATATATATATGCAAAAGCACTTCATCTGGGCTGAACAGATTAACAGATTTCCAAGTTCTCACATGTGAATGACTGAATTACTTTCAAGGGCTTTCAGCGATTCTGGCTTTGGTCCGGAACCAGTTTGGAATGATGCGGTCTAGCAAGTGTCAGCAGCGGCGGCGTAGGCGTCAGCTGTTTGAGGCACAGCTCCCACTGTGCCCACGTTGGAGCTTATCTCAGGGAAGCAAGGCACTTACTGTAATGGTAACGCAGATGCTTTATGCATAGTTTCAGGAACATAAAATAAGTTAATACTTTTGATTAAAATGATTTTTTTTTATAATTTATGTGTCTTTTTATAGAAGCAACTGATATATTTAGGATAGCTGAACTTAGGAGGTTTGGATGGGAGTCCTCTTCACCCCTGCTTTGGCTCTTAGGATGAAGATTTAGGTAAAAAATAAAAACAAAACTCCAAAAACCAAAAACCACTGACATGCTCAGTGCCCCCGGCCACACTAGAAGTGCTGGGCCAGAGGCAGCTTGACTGTCTTTACTTCTGCTATGTGGGAAGACTTCTGGATGATGCAGCTGGTGGTCCCCTGCACTTCATCTTTTCCCTGGGCGAGGTTTGTTAAGGCCATGGCTGCATTGATCTCTTTCCAGTACGTATCATCCTTGCTCACGCCTCTTCTGTTAGCTGCACTGCATGGGTGCAAAAGAGAAGAGAAAGGCTCAAACCCACCATAGTGTGCACTGGAGACAGCATCAGAGCAAGGCACCAGTGTTCTGCTCACCTGTCACCTTTATTCAAGCCGATGTCCAGAGTGTCTGTAGAGAGAAGCACAAATTCAGTCACTCGTCTCTTGGACCTTTTCTTTGAAGATTTACTGTATTTTCAGCTCTCTCTCTTTCTTTCTTTCTGTGTGTGTGTGTGTGCGTGTGTGTGTGTGTGTGTGTGTGTGAGAGAGAGAGAGAGAGAGACAGAGAGAGAGACAGAGAGAGAGAGAGACAGAGAGAGAGAGAGAGAGAGAGAGAGAGAGAGAGAGAGAGAGAGAGAGAGAGAGAGAGGAGGAGGGAGGGAGGGAGGGAGGGAGGTGCAGTTGCCTAAGAAGGCCAGAAGAGGGCATCAGATCCCCGGCCCCAGCTGGAGTTACAAGCATCTGTGAGTCACCACCAGCTGTGGGTGCTGGGAACCAAATGCAGGTCCTCTGGAAGGGCAGAAACTGCTCTGGAACACTGAGCCATCCATCCAGTCCTGTTTAACCTTAGGATTTCTTCATTAATTGCCAAGAATAAAATTTCATCTAGAAAGATGGTTGAAAATTATTTTTTTAAACAGAGATCCCGGAGGTTATTAAGGTGAGATAGATTCATTTGCTATAGGACGTTGAGCCTTCCTGGGGAAGGGCTGTGCAGGAAGGTGTACTGACTTTACCAGTCAATGTTCTTGATCATTTCTCACCTATTAGCAACTGTCAGCACATTACCATGCCCCATAAAGTAGATTTATTTTCTTCAAAACTACAGAATAGGGACTTTCCTAGAAGCTGTTGAGGCTCCCCCAACCTTAATATTCTGCAGTTTGCTGAGACTCAAGCTGGAGGGAGGGGTAAGGTGAGATTGACATGCCTGGGTAGTCAACACATGAGTAGCATTTCATAGGGTTTGGGGGAAACGCTAGGGTCTGGAGTGCCATCAGCCTAGGATCTTCTGATCCTGCTGGGTTGGCCTGGACAGTCAGAGCCTCACCCTGCTGTGCTGGATAATTTGGGATTAGAAAGTCACTCATGTACATGGAGTAAAACAGCAATAATTTTAGCCCGCAGAACTCAATAATCGTGATTTATAGAAACTTTCTGTGAGTCAAGCCTCTTGGGTGTTGCTGTACAAATTTTTTAAAATCACATTTATATATTGATGGGGGTGTATGTGCAAGCCATCATATGTACAGAGGTCCAAGGACAGGAATTTGTCCTTTCCTTCCATCGTGTGAGCCCCAGGATCGAAGCCAACCTGTCAAGCAGGGTGGCAGGTGCCTTCAGCCATTAAGTCCTCTCAGAGTCCCCATTCTAACTTCTTCAGCTTCAGTGACTTTGCACGGGGCTGCATGTCTCTTTGATGCCCTCAAAAGTCTGTCCTATTATCTGTTTTCATTCACTAATGACAGGTTAAAGATGCGACCAGAACAGCGAATAAGCCAAGGCCCTTGGGCAGGAAAGTCGGTAGCATTGGACATTTTACAGTGAGAGGGGAGGGAGCAGAGAGGTGGGGGAGGGGAGAGGAGAGAGACAGAGACAGAGAGAAACAGAAAATTAATATTCTGGTCTTTGATCATTTTTTTTCCACAACTATTGCCAAAAGTAAAGCCACAGGTTATGGGATGTTCTGTCAATGGAAAGATTTGTCAAAGGCAGACTAAGTTCCATTAAGTACAGACATCAGGGAAGTCAGAAAAGAGCATGTTCTGATGCTCAGGTTTACAGCTGAACCGGTTCCCACCGGTGAGGGGACCAGAATGTAGCTTCTCACCCGACAGGTCAGCTGAGGGGGGTGACTGCCAACAAGCAGGAAGCTTGAGCTGTCCACGACATGTAAGGTGATGCAGAATCCTGAAATGGTGTCGCCTGCCTGCAGAGGGAGGTGGGGTTCCCCAAGATGAGGAGGAAGCCTTATATTCTGCAGCCCCAGAGTGGCCAGATGTGGCTGGCACCCACAGTGGCTGGCTCCTTAAAGTCAAGCCACCGAGAAAGGAGATTCTGGCAGCTGGCTGTGAAGTTACGAAATTTTGCTTACTTAGAAATGAATGTGCTTTCCACTTTGGTGCCTATAAAAATATCTCTGATGTGTAAAAACCCACACTCAAATCCTTGTTTGGGCATTCTAATTAGTTTCACAAATCTCTCTCTTTCTCTCTGTCTCTGTCTGTCTCTGTCTCTCTCTTGTGTGTGTGTGTGTAGCTAGAGTTTTCCTGCCTGGCCCACAGTCAGGACAAATCTCTATCACCTGCCAGTCTCACAGCCGCTCAAACCCAGCCAAGTAAACACAGAGACTTATATTGCTTACAAACTGTATGGCTGTGGCAGGCTTCTTGCTAACTGTTCTTACAGCTTAAATTAATCCATTTCTATAAATCTATACCTTGCCACATGGCTCGTGGCTTACTGGCATCTTCACATGCTGTTTGTCATCGTGGCAGCTGGCAGTGTCTCTCTGACTCAGTCTTCCACTTCCCAGCTTTATTCTCCTCCTTGTCCTGCCTACACTTCCTGCCTAGCCAATGGCCAATCAGTGTTTTATTTATTGACTAATCAGCAACACATTTGCCATACAGAACATCCCACAGCATGTGTGTGTGTGTGTGTGTAAATGACTCTACACACATGCACATTTGTGGGTGTGAATATGTGTGCTCAGCTCATGCTGCATAGAGCGCAGGAAGAGGTCACAGGGCAACCTCAGGTGTTGGTTCCGCCTTGTTCCAAGTAGAGTCCCTTGCTCACTGTCCTGTATCCTGACTTGCTGGTTCCTCCAGTTTCCAATGTTTCTTCTGTCTCTACCTCCTAGCTCCCCGTGGAGCGCTGGACTTGAACTTATGTCCTTCTGCTTGCATGACAAGTGATTTTATCCAATGAGTCATCTCACTAGCCCCCCCTTTTTTTTTAACGAACGGTACAATGACATCCTATATACGGGTCCCAAGAGTGAAGTTTACACGTTATTAAGGCACATGGGTACATTTGGTGTTGTAAGGTCAGACTGGTTCTGAAGACAGGCAGACCTGCATGAGCTGTCACAGCTGGGAGACAGCTGGCACTTCTATCAGGGCTAAAACGGTCCCAAAGTGCACTCTCGAGGATTTCAGACCGGTTGCAAAGGCTGACTGTCATCACTTGGAAGCTTTTCTGCTTCTAGGATGGCTTGAGTTCAGAACATAGACTGGTGTTAAAGGGGCATGCTTCTTGTGTGGCTAGTACTGGGGCTTCCTAGTGTGAGGAGGGTATTTCACTCTAGAATTCAGTTCTCTGCTTAACTTTCTAAGGAAACACTCGTCCAAAATGAGGATAGCCCTACCTTAAGTTTCAACATGCTTTGAGTTTCACAGCATCCGAGATTTTCTCACACCACTGAGGAGTGATGAGTTTAGTCCACAGATGAACCACAGAAGGAAGTTCATAAACAACCCCCTTCTTCTTGGAAATATTTGTGCATTTTCTGGAAAGCAAGAACTCTAAAAATCTGCTAGTTTGGGGACTTCTATTTATTGTGCTGTGATGGGATCTGGGGACGTCCCAGCTATTTTAGAGACTGACACCATCTGAGGACAGCTCAGCAAGCTTACAATCCACAGCCAACACTGGATGGTGCTACTAAGTGCTCTGACTTTTTCCCTCCAAAGCGAATACTTGCTTCCTCTTTTCTAATTGAGCTAGTTCCCTTTATAGTCCCACAGTCAGTATTTCAGGAGCCTTGGGGATGTTGTCCCCCATCACTGGTGGTCATGATGCTCAGGTCGCGCTTGCCCACCCATGACAGCTGGTCTTATGGGCTCTCTTCTGGTAGGAGTACTGGGGGTTCCAGACAGGAGAAGTGAAGGTGCAGAATCAATACTGCTGAAAGTCAGAAGAAAGCGGAGGCCCAGGCTGCAGATGTGGGGTAGGCTCCTGGCAGAGAACATGAGCACTCACAGATCAGGGTCTGAGCGCTGACATTTGCTCAGGGCATCTCACCCTGCAAGTAGCTTGGCTCAGCTTCCCCAAAGTCTAAGCTAAAATGCCTCTTTAGATTCTAAGGCTCCAAAAATCAGCTCCGCTGTCAATTACCATAAAAGCAATTGGTTGGCAGGAACTGCTTATTGAACCAGCCAAAAGAGTGTGTTTTAAGACCAAAAAAGAAAAGGAAAGAATAAAAGAGGTGGGCAGTTAGGAAAATCTCGGATGCTGTGAAACTCAAAGCATGTTGAAACTTAAGGTAGGGCTATCCTCATTTTGGACGAGTATTTCCTTAGAAAGTTAAGCAGAGAAACGATTACACGAAAAACGAGGTTGCACAGGGATTCAGGTTGCCTGAGCACAGCGCTCAGGAGTCAAGGGGCCTTTGGACCATCAGACATGCCGCTCAGAAGCATACTAACTGGGAGGTAAATTCCTAAAATAACATCTGTGGGCCTAGAAAGTGACAAAAGTATGGCCACATCTTTCTCCTCTGTGGCATGTTTTTCAAATTTAATGAATAAATCCTTAAATTGGGAATGTTTTGTTAAGTGTTTCACGAAAGAGGACTTGCGCCAAACTAGCAAGAGGACTAGCACGTAAACCAAACTAGCAAGAGGACTAGCACGTAAACCAAACTAGCAAGAGGACTAGCACGTAAACCAAACTAGCAAGAGGACTAGCACGTAAACCAAATGAAGGAAGATTAAGCGTGTGACTATTTTTCACATTAAGTAACGTGAAAATCGCACAGCGACATTTCTCTAAATTAACATGAGAAGAATGAGAGACAGGAAACTGGGGAATGGAGGAAGCGGGGAGAAGGAAGGAAGGAAGGAGAGCCACTGAAAGTGTTCTGCCCAGAGGACAGCAAAGCAGGCCATTTGGACCAGGTGGGTGGGGGAAAGGAAGCTATGGTTTATATTCTAAGATGATGGAAGACAGTATCTACCTCACCTGTCACACCTGGCTTCATGTCCTTGCAGGGAAGGATCTAAAGCAAGCCGTAAATCCCAGTGTCTGAATGCTAGGCTTCCACAAAGGTGGTCCGTTTGGGCCAGCAACATGGCTCAGGTGGCAAAGGTGCTTGCCACCAACCTTGACAGCCTGATTAGAACC